CAAAGAAGGAATTATCGTAGATCCTAAGAAGACCAAAGCTGTGCAGAAATGGCCCAGACCTTCTTATCCTACAGATATTCGCAACTTTTTAGGCTTCGCAGGCTATTACAGGCGTTTTGTGCAGGATTTCTCCAGAATAGCAGCGCTACTGACCAAGCTAACACAGAAAAATGCAAAGTTGATGGAGGAATGCGAGCAAAGCTTTCAGAAACTTAAAACGTGTCTGACAACTGCACCAATATTAGCCTTACCATCTGGTTCTGGAGGATTTATAGTATTCTGTGACACCTCGAGGGTGGGATTAGGATGTGTTCTCATGCAAAATGGTCGTGTTATAGCTTATGCTTTGAGACAATTGAAAAAGCACGAGCAAAACTATTCTACACATGATTTGGAGATGGTTGCAGTGGTATTTGCTCTAAATATTTGGAGGCATTATCTATACGGTGAAACTTGTGAGATTTATACTGACCATAAAAATCTGAAGTATATCTTTCAGCAGAGAGATCTGAATCTTCGGCAACGTCCATGGATGGAACTACTCAAAGACTATGATTGTTCTATTTTATATCATCCTGGAAAAGCTAATGTGGTGGCTGATGCATTGAGCAGAAAATCTATGGGGAGTTTGGCACATATAGCCCCTGCAAAGAGACTTTTGGCCAAAGATATTCAGAGACTAGAAGATACAGGTATCAGATTTAGTGTCGGAAATTCAAAGGCATTGTTGGCTTGTGCTTAGGCTAAGTCTTCATTAGTTGAGCGCATTAAGGCCACCCAATATGAGGATAAATGATTATGCAAATGCAGAGATGAGGCCTTAGCTGGTAAAAGCAAGGATATGATTGTTGAAAGTGATGGTGTTCTTCGAATAGGTGACAGGCTATGTGTAGCAGACGTAGATGGGTTGAGACATGCTATTCTTAAAGAAGCTCACAACACTAAATACACTATACATCCTGGATCCACAAAAATGTACCATGACCTGAAGCAATTTTATTGGTGGGAAGGTATGAAGAAAGATGTTGCTAACTTTGTTTTTAGTTGTTTGACTTGTCAGTAGGTCAAGGCTGAGCATCAGCGACCCGCAGGACTACTACAACAAATTGAGATTCCAAAGTGGAAATGGGAAAGAACTACTATGGATTTTGTCACCGGGCTACCACGAACCCTTAGAGGTTATGACTCGGTATGGTGATTGTAGATCGACTGACGAAAGCAACACACTTTTTGCTGGTGAAGACTACATATGGTGGAGTTAGGTATGCACTGATATTTATGAATGAAATTATCCGACTTCACGGAGTTCCAGTATCCATCATCTCTGATAGAGGATCACAGTTCACTTCACGCTTTTGGAAATCTTTTCAAGAAGCATTAGGTACACGAGTAGATCTTAGTACTGCATTTCATCCACAGATAGACATGCAGTCTGAATGTACTATTCAGATCTTGGAGGATATGTTGAGAGCTTGAATTCTTGAGTTTAGAGGTAGTTGGGACATTTATCCACCGTTAGCTGAATTTACTTACAAGAATAGCTTCCAGTCCAGTATTCAAATGGCACCATACGAAGCATTGTATGGTAGAAGATGTCGTTCTTCTATCGGATGATTTGAAGCTGGTGAGACTAACTTATTGGGACCCGACTTAGTTCAAGAAGCAATGGACAAAGTCCAGTTGATCAGACAAAGATTGGTTACAGCTCAAAGTAGACAAAAGTCTTATGCTGATAGGAGGAGAAGAGATTTAGTGTTCACAATTGGAGACAAAGTGTTCCTATGAGTCTCTCCTATGAAAGGTGTAATGCGGTTTGGGAAAAGAGGCAAGCTAAGCCCCAGGTTTATAGGACCGTATGATGTACTAGATCGAGTGGGAGTTGTGGCTTACTGTTTGGCACTTCCTCCCGAGTTGTCCCTTATTCATCCAGTGTTTCATGTCTCAATGCTAAGAAAATGTATATCAGACTCATCTCAGGTGCTTGAAGCACCAACTATACCGCTTGATGAGAAGTTATCTTACGAGGAGGAGCCAATGACAATTGTTGATAGACAAGTAAGAAAGCTATGGTCAAAAAATATTGTGTTCGTTAAAGTTATATGGGAAAATCATACAGTTAAAGAAGCTACTTGGAAAGTAGAAAAAGATATGCAAGTGAAGTTTCCCCATTTATTTCAGTCTACAGATACGTACTTAAGTTAAATTCGGGGACCAAATTTCATAAGGTGGGAAGGATGTAATACCCCAATATTTTAAGTGAGGACATATTGGACATTTAGAAAATAATTTAAATCCAAAAAAAGGGGAACTAACAAATAAAACAAAACAAACAAAAAAAATGAAGGGAAAAAGGGTTGCAAGCACAAAAGGGCTGAAGCTCATTCTCTAAACTAAAAGGAAAAAAAAGGAACAAAACAAGGGTTAGGGAAGGGGAAGAAACAAAGGCTTCAGCAGAAACGAAAAACAAAAAAGAAACGAGCAGAGAAGAAAGAAGGAAAAGAGAAAAGAAGGAGGAAGAAGTGGGTGCAGTGCGTTGGAAGCATAGCTATAACTATTGAGGAATCTTAAGCACTAATTGTCTCTTACGGGTATTACTTGAACCTCTTCTTCTGGTAGATTTTAATTTCGATTCTCTTGATTGGAAGATTCTACACAGTAATAGAAATTACACTAGTTCATTCACATAATTGAGAATTTTCTTCCTAAAGAATTAATAGAACTTTATGAAATTTGGAGTAATAAACTATATGAATAGGTTAGAGTTAATAAATTAGTAATTACTCATATGTGGGTAATATAAATTCACAAATTAAGACCACAAACATGAACCCCGATGATTGGGTATTCTAAAATAGCTATGAATTAGCCTAAATAAGGAAATTAACATGAGATCGATATTATGTAATTTTAGATTGATTGGAAGAAATTGTACGAGTTGCTTGAGGTGAAGAAGTTGGTATTTCGGTACGAGTTCGGTGAGTATCGTAGTAATCTTACCACAATTTGTGTTTTCATAACTTGCATGATTTACACATGATTTTTAAGATGAATATGTTACCGATTATTTTGAGTTGCATGTGGGACAAGTCTTTTACTCGATATGATACCGAAATAGTTATTTGAGATGGTTACCGTAGTTTTAAATATTTTCGTTGTCACTAGATCTGTTTTACTGTTACTTGAATTTACTATTATCAAAATGAAATTATATGATTTGATAAGAACCAAAATGCCCTGTATTGTTTTAAAATATTTTCTACGAGTATATATACGGATTTCAGAGACAAGTATAAGTGAGAGTAGACATTGAAGGATCCCGTAGCTAACGGCGGGTTCGTTAGACTTGGTGCACCTTGTAATTACATATTACCGTTATAGCCCTCGCTAGTGGGAAGGTAGAACTAGCATACTATTACTGACTTCCCTCGAGTAGGGACTACCATTATATTTGACTTCTTGCGAAGAAGTACATAGTTATATCGATTACATGATCCGTTCATTGAAACCTCCCAAATGTGAATATTGATATTATACAGTGGTTACCAAGCTTATTACTGAACTGTTAATTGTATTATACCACAAGAAAAGCATGATGAAACTGAAAATTATTTATTATTTCTGAAAGGGCATTTTGATGTTATCTGTTTAAGATACTAGCATGTTTTTTGACTTGTCCCCAATAAAAATGATTATGGTTAAGTATTATTACTCACTGAGCTAGCGATTCATTCCCCGCTAATTTTTTTTACAGAGACAGCAGTTGACGCGGGCGAGGATTTTGTTAATTAAAGCGCACAGGTTGATAGTTCTTGGTGAGCCTCGCACTTGTTCACGTGAGCAGAGATTTTATTTATTGTTATGGCCTTTTCTTTGAACTCTTAGAGTCGCTCCATAGTCATTATTTTAGTTTCATGAGTATTCTTTTGTTATTATAGTCGTATGTTGACTATCGTTCTCATTTATCAAAGTTGGAGATAAATTCGTATTTCTAGTGGTTAGTTGATGGTTTAGTTATGGTGGAGACTTGTTTTGGTTAACTGACAAGTTGTCAATTATTTGGTATGGTATTAGTATGTTTCGTTGTTGATTTGAGACAGGGAAATTTTTTGGGATAGTCCAAAAACAAGGAAAACTCTGCCCGATTTTCTGTAAAATACCGATGAGACTTACTTGGGGGCACTTGCTCCTAAGCGCCGGTCATGATCCTAAATTGGGTCGTGACACTAGTCCCAACTTAAGTAATTTCAATTGATATATACTTATCTTTAATGTTAGATTGTCAAGTGTACAGAAATTAAACTCGGATAACAAAATGACGTGCGCGTGTATATCATCAAGGGGATGCATACTTGTTGTAGTAATAGCACTCGACTTTCCGTTATCTCACTGCCCATCAGCCCTTAATTTTACCTTTTCTACAGTTGTTGCTTTTTATTCTTTTTCTTTCTATGTTTCCTTAAGGGCCAAGCACTACAATATGGCCAAAGGAAAATTAGCTTTAGTTGAAATGGTGGTGTTCTTTTGATTTTGTATCAACAGTACGTACTGTGAACGCCACCAATTACAAGGGAGAAGAAGAAGCTGATAGACTAATATTTTTGCCAGGTCAACCGAAGGCAGAAAAGCTTTCAGTTAGCTTTTCTGATATAAAGGGACGTAAGTGCTCAAAATATCTTGGATTTACATAAAAAGGAAATTGAAGCATCTATATGATGCAATCATATCACACATAAATTCACTACCTAGCTAAAACATCAATATGCATCAACTGACACTTAGAAAATTTCTGAAAAATCACATAAATAACAATAGCCTTGAAAACAGAGGAATCAATTCAAAAACAAGAGAGTAATAGAGGAGGAATAAATTCAATCAATCGACTGTCAATCTAACAACAACTAAATATCACAAACGACTTAGTAAACACAGAAAAAGCTATACTTTCACTAATCCCAAAAGACCGTAGTTGGATATCAAAAATTAAAAATCAAAATTGGAACCTGGTAAGCAAAAACTTTTGCCGATTAAGAGCAGAAATTGAAGGAGACGAAGGCTTTCTGCAATAATTCTTGAAACCTACACGAAACGTAAATTGAAGACGAATGAGAGGGAGAAGATTGATAGAGAAAACTAATAATAATCGAGCAGCATCAACCCAAAATTATATAAAACTCGATCGAGAACGACCTGGGATGGCCGGAGACCGTGGCAGGGCGGAGGATTTTGCAGCGATGCTGTTAACGCGCAGGTTTTCCGCCGTTCTTCTGTATCGTTCTAATTATAGGCATCGTTTTTCTGTATCATTCTAATTATAGGGTTTGGTTTTTCCTATGGTTTTTTAAATTGTAGGGTTTTCTAATTGGATGGAATGTAATTTATTATTCCAAAAAATTGGAGGGAAATATTGTACGGAGGAAAAGTTAAAATAATAAAAAATATAATTTAATTAGAGATTCTTAGTGTCAATTATTTTTTATTATTGTTAAAAATATATCTTTTACTGGCTAATGGTCATGTGCCGCTAATATTTTAGCTTAAATAATTCATTAGTAGCAATTACCTAATTGCCGCTAAATAATTGCCGCCAAAGACCTTTTTTGTAGTAGTGGATATTTGATTAATTAAATGACTTTTATTTAAAAATGGTTAATTCGGGAATTGTATCGGCTGGCCTAATTTCACGATAGGCGCCATCATGACCGGGTTTTAGGGTCGTGACATTCGAAGAAGAAGAACACATAGCATATAAATATACAATATACATATAAAAATTGTATTAATGTTGTATAATAGTTGTATAAAATTTGTATGAAAAATGTATTTGTTGTTTTTTATTTGTAGTTACATTTTTTAATACTGTATGAAAGTTAAAAATTAGTTGTGCACTGTATGTATTATCGTATGAAAGTTGTATTAAAGTTATAAATATTATCTTTTTACATAAAGTTGTTGATATGTATCAAAATTGTATTAAGACAAGAAGTTTTGATTGGAATTTCAGAGAAGAAGAAGAACACACCACATACAAAAATATGTACAAATCATATACAAAATACATACAAAATATATATTGAATAAAATTTATATGAAAATTATATTTAAGTTGTATCATGTTGTAGTTATATGTAACTGAGTAAGAATAATGTACGAAAATCATAGATAAATTTTAAATAAGTTGTATACTGTATTTTAACGATCTGGCCGGTCGTTTCATGAGCTGCAGTCCCGTTCTCCCCGTTTTTGCTTCTTTATATGTTGTTCTGCTATATTTCATCATATTATGCTGGTTGTTCTGTGTTCGGAATGGTCATGGAGTGAAATGAGATACTTAGTCTCTTATTTAGAAGCTTAAGTTGGAAGAGTCGAACGGGTGTTGACTTATGAGTAGAAGTTCTCAGATGTGATTCTGAAGGTACGGATAAATTTGTTAGGGTCTTTTGGACTTAGGAGCATATTTAGAAGGGAATTTGGAGGTCCGTGGTAGATTTAGGCTTGAATTGGCGAAATTGGAAATTTGACGTTTTTCGGTCGGTTGTGGAAATCTTGATATCAGGGTCGGAATGGAATTAAAAAAATTGGAGTAGGTCCGTTGTGTCATTCGTGACGTGTGTGCAAAATTTCAGGTCATTAGGATGAGGTTTGATAGGTTTTTACATCGTTTGCGGAATTTAGAAATTTTGAAATCCTTAGACCTGAATCCGAGGGTGATTTGGTGTTTCGATGTTATTTTGAGTGTTTCGAGGGTTGATATAAGTTTGAATGATGATATGTCATTGTTGATATGTTTGGTTGAGGTCCCGAGGGCCTCGGGATAGATTTGGGTGGTTCACGGAAGGACTCAAATTAAGTTGATGCAGCAGATTTTGCTGCTTCTGTCATTTACGCACCTGCGGATTGGGGATCGCAAGTGCGTGGAGGAGAATGCAGATGCGAAAGTTAGCCATCAGAAGAATAACCGCAGGTGCGGTATGTTGAGCGCATCTGCGGGACCGTAGGTGTGGTGCATTCGCATATATGCGGACCTAAGGACTTCAAGTGAAAACTACAGGTAAGGTTTGTTTGACCGCATAAGCAAGAAAGGGAGTCGCAGGTGTAAGATGCCTGGGCAGAAAGTATAAATAGGAACCCTTCGCAAATTTCGGGTGTTCTTCACAATTTCAACTCGGTTTTTGGAGCTTTTGGAGGGTTTTGAAGAGGGATTCAAGGGGAAACTCGTTGAGGTAATGTTTTTGAACCTAAAACTCGATCCTATGATGATTCTTAGTTGATTAAGCATGAAATTTGTTGAATTTAAGGGTGAAAATTGGGGAATTAGGGCTTGAAATTGGATAGTTTAAATTGGGGATTTAAAGGGACACTTGAGGTCCAATTTTGATGATCTTGGTATGTATAGACTCATGGGAAGATAAGGATTCTAGTGATGTAATTTTTATCAAATCCCGAGACATGGCCCCGGGGGGCCGGGTTTGAGGAAATTCTAGATTTTGAGTTTAATTCGATAATTTTCGTGTGAGCTTTGTCCCTTTGGAATGTATTGATGATATAATTCTGATTTTTGATAGATTCGGGATGATTTGAGGCCGAGTCGAGAGGCAAGGACATTGCGGAGTAGATTTTCGTCCGGTTCGAGGTAAGTAACGATTGTAAATCTAGACCAGAGGGTATGAAACCCCGAAATTTCGTGCTATTTTGATAAATGAGGTGACACACATGCTAGGTGACGGACGTGTGGGCACGCACCAGTAGAGATTGAGACTTTGTCCGTCCCGTGGCAACTGTAGAGTTGCATATTTTGGATAAACTATATATAAAATCTATGTGTTTAGAAATAATTCTGTTAACTTGGGCTGAATGCCATGTTTGGGGCCTTGTGCCGTACTGTTTGGACCCTCAAGGGTATTTTACTACTATCCTCACACTGTTTTGATTCTAAAGCATATCCTCAATCATGCTTTTTACCTATTAATTATTTGATTCAATTTCATTACTCAACTTTCAAATATATGAAAACTGTTTGGGCGGAGTTCCCTGATTTTTCACTAAAATGCACGAGTGGCTGTGAGGTTGTTGACTGAGAGAAGCCGAGGGCCAGATGGTGAGGATTATATATATAAATCGGGTTGCACGCCATAGCGATATGTATTGGATCGGGCTGCACGCCGCAACGATATAGAGCTTGGGCTGTAGGAGCCCCTCCGGAGTCTGCACACCCCTAGTGAGCATAGTCGACTATATATCTATGGATCGGGCTGCACGCCACTGCAGTTATTATGAGATATCTATTGAGCGGGAGTACAGAGTGTGAGTGTTGATTGATGAGAGTTGAGTCACGAGTGACTGAGAGGTTTGCCCGAGGGGCTATCTATATATTAGTGATACTTTGCCCGAGGGGCTTGTTTTATGAAATTACTGTTTTCACTCTTCTTTTATACTGAGCCTCTAATGAAATATGTTGAACAAATATTATAAATAACTTTCATAGAAACTAGAGTTTTTTCGAGATGTTCAAAAATTGAATTACTGATTCGACTTTGTTATTTCCATTGAGATTTTATGTTAGACTATGTATATAATTTAAATGCTCGTCAATGCACTTAGCCTTTATTTATAATTGCTACTTACTTAGTTGGCGTACTCACATTACTCCCTGCACCTTGTGTGCAAATCCTGGTGCCAGGGCATTCCGAGTAAGAGCTGATCTTTGCCTTCAGAGTATTTTTTGGAGATAGCAAGGTAGTTGCACAACGTCTGCAGTCCTGCCTCTCTCATTCCTATCCTTACTATTATATATTTCAGTCTTATCTTGTATTGAGTAGACAATATTGGACTGTATTTTAGTGGCTCATGACTAGTGACCCCAGGATCGGGTAGTGTTGATGTATTTCCGTATTTGTTTTCCGCTTACTTTGATATATTAAAAAGAAAGATTTGTGATCATATTTGATTAGAATAATGACTTTACAAAAGACCTTTATATTATTAGTGTTATCGACTGGCCTAGTACTGTGATAGGCGCCATCATGACCGGGGTGGTTTGGGGTCGTGACAAGTTGTTATCCGAGCATAGGTTACATAGGTCTCACCAGTCATGAGTCGGTTTAGTAGAGTCTTGCGGATCAGTATGGAGACGCCTGTACTTATCTTTGAGAGGATGCGGAACCTTTAGGAAAAACTTTATATTCTTTAATTCATGTCATGCGAATCTTTTGATTCTGTTAACTAAATTTCCGTTATTCTATTCTCTCATAGATGGTTAGGACACGTGCTACCAGTCAGGACAAACAGCTAGTAGTACCACCAGTTAGGGCCATCAGAGGCCGAGGTTGCAATTGAGGCCATGGTAGGGGCAGGGGTGTAGTCCACACAACAGCTAGGGAAGCACCTGCAGATCCACCAGTCGCCCTAGTTCATAGTCAGGTCCTAGATGTGGATGCTCCAGCAGGACCAGCTCAGGCATCGGCTGTGCCGATTGTTATTCCAGACCTTTAGGAGGCCCTAGCCCAGATTCTATCAGTGTGCACTGGCCTGGCTCAGGCGGTCTCAGTTACTACGGCCGCAGTTACTTTTCAGGCTGGGGGAGGCACCCATACTTCCACCGCTCGCACACCTGAGCAGGTTATGCAGGGACTTTAAACACCGGGGGAACCTCCAACCCAGCTAGTTGCACCTGCTCGGGATTATATGGTACCAGTTATGCCTTACGAAGAGCGGCGTCGATTGGAAAGGCTTGGTAGACTTCAGCCTCCAACTTTCAGTGGTGCAGAGGGCGAGGATGCACAGGGGTTCTTGGACAAGTGTCAAAGGATGCTTCAGACCACAGGTATTTTGGAGACCAGCAGGGTCTCGTTCAATACTTTCCAGTTTTCAGGAGCTACCTTTACTTGACGGGAGGCTTATGAGAGGCATAGGCCTGCTAATGTAGCGCCCCTTACCTAGCGGCACTTCTCCGCTTTCTTTTTGGAGAAGTATGTGCCACGGTCTCACAGAGAGGAACTGCGCAGGCAGTTCGAGCAGTTGCGGCAGGATGATATGACTGTGATGCAGTATGAGATGAGATTTTTAGAGCTAGCTTGTCATGCTGTTTGGTTGGTTCCTATGGATAGAGAGAGGATCAGGAGGTTCGTGGATGGCCTCACATACTTCAGATTCTCATGACCATAGAGAGAGTGTTAGGTTCTACTTTTGAGCAGGTTGTTGATATTACCCAAGAGATTGAGTCAGTTCGTCGCCAGGAGCAAGATGAGAGGGGGGCCAAGAGGTCTCGAG